AATCTGAGAATAAAAAAAACCTCAGCATTATAGAAATTGTGCACTACTCTGATACTAACATACCTGCTAAGATTTGCTCACAGCAGAGTCTTACACAGCTTTAACTTTAATGTGTTAAAAACTGGGCATGAGAGATAAACAGAATCACCTAAGAGACAGGCTAGAGAAAAGCCAGTCTCTCTCTCTCTCTCTGCTTTTTATTTTCAGTTTGTTCATTTAGTTCACTGACCGCATTTTAGTTCACTGACCACTTCAACAGGCTCTTTTGAGGTGAGAAATACCTCCATAAATGCAAGCAATTTGTTGACAATGGTAACTAGTAGAGCCCAACAAAACACACTGTTATGAAAAACAGGGCTGAAGCCACTCTGACAAGAGTTGTGTTAGTTTAAAGCCCATAAACAATAAGCAGGGCCACACTTTACCCCAGCACAGCTGGCCTCTGAGGAGGCTGATTGTACTTGTCCTTGAAAGAGAAAAGAGCAAATAAGCCACAAAGAATTATATTGTGGGGACAGCTTGTGTGGATCCTGGTGAAGGACATGAAAGCAGCCAAATAAAAATATATTCAGTCCTGATTGCAGCCAGCTTATTTTGATGGGAACTATTTACATATTCCACTTAGATCTATAAGGTTCCTGTAGTGAATCTTGTTTTTTTAAGCCTCAGCAATTGGTTTCTTATTAACCAGTTTGGGGAGAGGGAGCTATTTGTTTAAGGGAAAGCAAATCAAAATTTTAATCATAACTGTAAATTTAAGAGCAGGGTCAAATTTTTTGCTACATTTAGCAAACTGTTTCAGACATGTAACAGGAAAATCCTTTGTCTTTGGATATGTAGAGGAGGCAAGTTTGACAAATACCACTTTTATAGGACTTGCTAGCTTGTTACCTGTAAAAAGTCTCAAATTTATAATTTTAAGCTGTGATTTTTTATAATCCTTGTTGATTGCAGATTGAGAGTGGGTCTTCTGTAGAAGTAAATGCATGACTCAAGCAAAACTGAACTCCCAAAAACCAATTACAAGAAACTGAGGAGCAATAACAGAGTTGTCCATAAGCTTCTTGACACTGGGTTCTTTCTTTTTTTATTTCTACAAACTATTTTATATTCATGTGCTTTGCTGGCTACTGGTTTTTCCTCTTGTTTACACACAGTGCAGAGGACTGAATTGTCAGAGAGGAACTGCTCATCTTTAGCACTGACAACATCAAATACATCATAAGCATGTGTGATATAAATCACAGTCAGTACAATACGGACACTCTTCTATGAAGGCACATGGAAATCAGCATTTGTTGAGGAAGGTTCACCTCAACTATTAAATAATAAAAGTTTTCTGAAGAGCTTTTCAAAGGTACTGCTTTTTGAAACTCAGATGTCTGGGTTGTGTTGGACTTTCAGTCAGATTCACTGTCCTGACCTCCTGCAGACATACCAAGGACAGGCCAATCTCATCTAATAAAATACAAAGCTGGTGTTTCCCTTGAATCCCCCCTCTGAGTGTGATCCATCCCCTGCACTCTGACAGCCATGGTTCAAATCCCTCCAATACTTGGCTGTGTTTGAGCCATGGAGAGTTCTTTATGTCTGGAGGTTTATGGACAATATTGGCTTCTCCTAGCAGTAGTATTTTATTGGCAAGAGAAGAAGCTACATTAAAAGGACATGCCCCAGCTTGGAGCTGGCAGGCAAAACATGTGCTGGATTGTCTCTTTGGTTCCTAAAAAGCATCAGTTTATGAGAACTGACTTTGCCAGACATTTAAGTTCTATCTCACATCCAGTGCTGCAGTTTAAATAGGCAAAACTTGACCCTGCAGCCAAGAAGCATGGCCTCATCCATTGCTACATGGCTGGAGAGCTGCTCGTGCCAGCACAAAACAGGCAGGGGTTTAGAGGAAGAGATGTGTCCTCAATGATGCTGTTCCCAGCAGCAAGAGCCCTACCTGCACTATTTCAAGAGTGGAGAGAGAATTTTGGACACATGTTGCTGACTCCATTTCAGTCAGCTGTCCACTAGCAGGGTGTATTCTGTTCAGAGAGCTTGGAGTACAGACTGTGGCTCCAGTGGGAATTTTCTCCCAAAACCCACCACCTGCTGTGGGTCTGCCTGTGCTGTCTGACACGGGAATTCCAGAGCAAGGGGAACCACTCCCCAGGGAAAGGCAGCACATCAGCACATTGTATTGGCAGCATCTGCCTATAGATGCCCTATGTGACCCGAGCCAGCGGCTCTTCGGGGGGATCATTACTCCAGGATGGAATGGGAACCTGCGACCTCCCGAGCAAAGCACGAGGCACATTTCCCTTCCCAGGGGAACTACTGAAGAAGCAAACATTGTTAGTGGTGACGCAGATGAGAAAATGGGAAACGGGGACGGGGGAGGAGGAGAGTGAAAGTGGAACTTTTGTAACCTCGCGCGTTTCGTTGGCTATCAGCGCACGAGAGCGCAGGGAGCGCTCCCGGAGCGGCGCGGGGGATCCGCACACGGGGCTATATCCGCACACGCGGGGCTATATCCGCACACACGGGGCTGTATCCGCACACACGGGGTGTATCCGCACACGCGGGGGATCCGCACACGGGGCTATATCCGCACACTCGGGGCTATATCCGCACACATGGGGTGTATCCGCACACGGGGCTATATCCGCACAAACGGGGCTATATCCGCACACGGGGCTATATCCGCACACGCGGGGCTGTATCCGCACACGCGGGGCTATATCCGCACACTCGGGGCTATATCTGCACACGCGGGGGACCCGCACACGGGGCTATATCCGCACACTCGGGGCTATATCCGCACACACGGGGGGATCCGCAGACTCGGGGCTATATCCGCACACGCGGGGCTGTATCCGCACACGGGGCTATATCCGCACACGCGGGGCTGTATCCGCACACGGGGGATCCCGGCCGGAGCCGCTCCGGGAGCGCCAAGGGCGGCGGCCAGCGCCCCCTGGCGGGCACGGCAGAGCCGTTCCGCGGGGCCTCGCGGGGAGAGCGCAAGGAACGCGCTGGAAAGGGATCCCTGACACTGCAATGGGATCGCTGACACTGCAATGGGATCCCTGACACTGCAATGGGATCTGTCACACTACAATGGGATCCCTGACACTGCAATGGGATCGCTGACACTGCAATGGGATCCCTGACACTGCAATGGGATCTGTCACACTGCAATGGGATCTGTCACACTGCAATGGGATCCCTGACACTGCAAAGGGATCTGTCACACTGCCGAGTGATCTCTCCCACTTCAAAGGGATCTCTGACACTGCAAAGGGATCTCACACTGCAGAGCGATCTCTCCCACTGCAAAGGGATCTCTGACACTGCAAAGGGATCTCACACTGCAGAGCGATCTCTCCCACTGCAAAGGGATCTCTGACACTTCAAAGGGATCTCTCACACTGCAGTGATCTCCGTGCTTCCATAGGAATGTCTGTAATGACTCACTATTAAAGCTGCACCCTTAATGTTGTAAGTGCAATTCCCTATACCAACAGGTGAAGAGTTTAAATCAGCTCTGACACGCTGTATTTTAGTTGCTGTGTTCTCATCTCTTTAAGAGAAAAGGTCCTAGCATAGGAACAAAAATGGAAGATGACCATTCAGGTATCCTCAAAATGACTCACATAGAAATTACCTTTTTTTCCAGTGATCTTTTCTTACACAAACTTTTCCATGCTACTTTGTTTCCAGTGCTGTGAACAAAGTCTCAGAGGAGCTTATTATGAACCTGCTGGATATAATGAAGGCTTACGTAACTGGAATCTCTGAAACCCTTAGGGTCCCCACACTGCTGAATTAGTGTGAAGGTTTTTAGTCCCCAACAGAGACTAATCACCTCTGAAAACCCAATCTACTGTATTTGTAAAGAGATTCACTTGGTTGCTTTGATGTTAAAACACAATGAGCCACAAACAGATGACTTGGGTCAGGTAACAGATGGCATTGAAATCCTTTTGTGAGGTGGAGTCATCATCTAATTGCATAAAATTTCATAAGGAGAAGGTGGATGTATTTCTCAGAGTGCTTGAATGAGATCACATTTGGTAAAAGTCTGAAGAACAAAAGATTTCATATTATTACTCCTATAAAATAATGTTTGCAAATAGATATTAACTATCAAAACTGCTGTACACTTGCACTGCACCACTCAGTGCTCTGAAGATGTAAAAATAATCTGTACAAATAGCACAGTAGTTCCAAATAAGAAAGCTTCATTCTTTTCATTGGTTTGAAAGCATTATATTAATTTTGGCTTTCAAAATCAAAAAAGCAAAGACCTGTTAAAATAAAAAACTACCCAATAGAGAGCACACCCCCGAGATATTTCCTGGCTGTTGTCTCAAAGGGATCCTGGCACAGATGAATACCATCCTGATCTCATCAGGTATATTTACAGAGAGAACAGGCTTTACAGAGAGAACAAACAGGCTTTAACTATTAAACCCCTATGAACAGCATTTTTATGAAGTTATTCAAAATAAAAGCCTGGATAGTTTCTCAGATTTGGATCTCTCAGACAAATGGTCATGCTGTGATCAGTGAAACACCCAGCAGTACCACCACAGCAGAAGAGCACACCACCTAGCCAGAGCCCATGGGACAGAAATGGCTCAATCCCTTCCTTTCTTCCAGGACCCTGGGATGTCAGCTCACACCTGCCCCTGCTTTGGATCACCACTCTCCCAGACACAGAAATCTTGAGGGTACAGCAGTTTGTGTGTGTTCAATAGTTTACAGGAGCAGAGCTCTGTGTGGCTGGGGGTGCTGGCAGTGCCCCAGAGGTTTCACTCCTCACACACACCCAGCTGCTCTCAAGTCTGAGCTGACAGCTCCCCCGTGCAGGATTTGTGCCATCTGGCTGAGCACCCAGCCCCTTGGCCCTCACCTGCTGGGTCCAGCAGTGCCAGTGTTGGACCAGGGCAGGGCAGGGGCTCCTCCTGCACAACCCACCCCACCCCACACACAGAACAGAGAGCAGCTTCAAAGTGTATGCAACATTTTATTGAAAAAATACGAATGTTCTGTACATAAAGTACAACTTAATGGGCTTGATAAAATCTCCAGAGACTTATTGGTTAATGTAGGTCTTCTTTTCTTCTTTTCCCTCTAAGGGCATAAAGCATACAATGAAGAAGCAGGTCCCTGTACTTGTGCAAGTGCAATCCCATGGCTGTGTGTGCAGCTCAGCACCTGGCTCTACACGGGACTCCAACATGCCCAAAGTACTTCTGATGGATGGTCTGCAAAGAATTTAAAGCATGGAAGAACTGCACAGGACTGGTCCTTCAATCCACTGGTGATTCAGAATTTATTGTGAGATCTCTGTTCTCCTAAACAGTCTGCATCTGCATATCCAATATTTCTGACAAATAAATACAAAAATAAATAGGGATCTGGCCTCACAGAACCTGAAGTCTCAGAAGCAACAAAACTTTTAGCAAGCTACATACATAATTTCAACTATGTCAACATAATTTATTTAAATCTCTATCAATAAATGTATTAAAAGTATAAATTCTTACCCAATACTGAGAGTTTAGTTCTGGAAATAAACCCAGAAAAGGAAAGCTTTTTCAGTCCTCTCTTACTTCAGTGTGCTCTTAGAAAATGCTTTATAGCTGAACTTCAGCAGAAACTAGCTGCTATATAATGCACTTCTATTCCCCAAACCTAATATAAAAAGCTTTTTAAATCTTTTTACAGTAACTGGCTTTCATGTCCTAACTTTACATACAGTTACTAAAAATACTGCACATAGCAGTGCTGACTAAAAATAGGTTTAGTGTTAAAACTACATGCACAAATGCTGGGGTACCAAAGCAGAAACTGAATAATGTGGCAGCTTCACAATTTATGTTGCAAATTGGATGGTGTAACAAATACTGCAATCCCAGAAGATATGTATGTTGCAAATGGAAAAACAATGAACAGGACTGGATGAGGAGAAAGTTAGGCAAAAAACCTTTTTTTCTTCTCTGTTTAAAACTGGAATGTCCGTAATGGCCAAGAAGGAAAATGTAGCCCAGGGCTAGAAGCTTCTAAATCAGGAGTAAATGGTGATGACTTCTCTGCCACCACCTCTCACAAGCAGTACCCTCTCCAGACCCTCAGTCAAGACTTCGAGAAACTCCATGTCTGTTTCAGTAAAGTCAAGGACAAAAAGCATCAAAACCACAACACACAGGGGTTAGACCAGGGCCAGCTCGCAGCCCTCAGCTCTGATCTCACTTAGTGCAGGTACCCCTCTAAGGACCAAAATACTGTGAGTTTGTGGCACTTTTTCCTTTAAGCAATTACCACCTTACAGCCACAAGCCAGTACCCTCCACTCAGGGAAATCTTTGTCACATATTACAGCTCAACAGCACTGGTGGCCAAATGAATTCAAGAGAACCAAGAGATTAAAGAAAAACCTTCTGTGTGGCCCAGGCCTTGCCTGAAAGGATACAGTTTTCATCTCCATCAGTATTCTTTGGAGGACCAGGCATGTTGAGGAGCACAAGTCTGGCATCATGGGATCTATTTACAATGACTTCATTGAGCTTCACTGCTGTGTGCATCCTTCGGACATTGGACTGGTTCCTGTAGGAGAAGCACATTCACACTCACTGTTAGAAACACACCTCTGAGCACTGAATTATTAAAAAGGTCCTCTAAAAGCACACTCAAATCTCCTAAATACCCTGTTAAATGTCAACTCAACACAGTGATTTCCTTCAAACTTTATGATGAAGATACATAAGACATTTTCCAGACTTACTTAGGTACAGCTAGTCTTAAATTTAAGATCTCTGGAGCCAAGTCCAGTTTAGAAAGTTACACTGCTCTTCAAAAAGCATTCTTGATAAAGATGATTTAGTGGTGCATAAGAAATTAGAACCCAGTTGCACGAGGGGATGTGCTCTTCAACAGTTGTGACTGCAGGGCCTTCCATGCAGGCCGCCCTGCCAGGAGCCCTCACCCTGGGCAGCACAGGCACCTCTCCAGCCCCAGCAGCACCAAACTCTCTCAGGGGCCTGGGAACCAGCACCAAACTCTCTCAGGGGCCTGGGAACCAGCACCAAACTCTCTCAGGGGCTGGGGAACCAGCACCAAACTCTCTCAGGGGCCTGGGAACCAGCACCAAACTCTCTCAAGGGCCTGGGAACCAGCACCAAACTCTCTCAGGGGCCTGGGAACCAGCACCAAGCTCTCTCAGGGGTCTGGGAACCAGCACCAAACTCTCTCAGGGGCCTGGAAACCAGCACCAAACTCTCTCAGGGGCCTGGGAACCAGCACCAAGCTCTCTCAGGGGTCTGGGAACCAGCACCAAGCTCTCTCAGGGGTCTGGGAACCAGCACCAAACTCTCTCAGGGGCCTGGGAACCAGCACCAAGCTCTCTCAGGGGCCTGGGAACCAGCACCAAGCTCTCTCAGGGGTCTGGGAACCAGCACCAAGCTCTCTCAGGGGCTGGGGAACCAGCACCAAGCTCTCTCAGGGGCCTGGGAACCAGCACCAAACTCTCTCAGGGGCCTGGGAACCAGCACCAAACTCTCTCAGGGGCCTGGGAACCAGCACCAAACTCTCTCAGGGGCCTGGGAACCAGCACCAAACTCTCTCAGGGGCCTGGCAGCACCGTGCTCAGCCTCACTTGCCAGGAGCACACTTCCCTCCTGGTGCTGAACAGAGTTGGCATCTCCAGAGAAAGGCTGGGCCACTACAGACTGCAGTAACATAATGGGGAAACACAGGATGGCAGCCCAGAGCAGGCTGGATGTGAGGGGCTTTTCTGGAGGGTTATAGGGATGTTGAGCTCTCCTTCAGAACACTAATCAACCTCTCTGACTGGCTGTTTACAAGAAACACTTTTACCCAGGTGTCTCTAAAATATCAATCACACTTTCAAACTTGAGTAGCCATTTAGTTCAAAAGTTAGGGGAGAAAAGGGAAATAGGTGCAGCATAATCTCACACACCTCCGCTCCCTAACAATCCAGGCTAAGAGAGGTAAAACCATTAATTATTTGGAATATATTAACACAAAATAACATCACTTCATGCAAGAACAAAACTCAAAAGTAACCTTTGGGGATTTCAAGCCCTCTTACAGGAAATCAACCATTATTTTGGTAACATAAAAGGAATACAGAAATAAATAAACTTGTCAAAGTTTATATATTAGAATATATTTATACTTTTGAGGCTTTTCTACTTGAGTTTTTGTCTTCATTTGAATGTTATAAAAATAAGTATTAGTAGAAACAAATGAAATATGAATCTGTGCTTTAATTGGTTCAGCTTTGCATGATGAGTGAAACTCTTTAGTAACCTTGCTGCTCTTCTGAATATTCAGATTTGCAAAGAAATAATTTATATGCACAGAACGAAGATGTGGTGGGAAGAACCATGTTTATTACACTAACAGAATAATTTACCCACTGTGAATTACCTCTCTGTTACTCCATGTTCTTATTCAATTTGGATCAAGGATCTGTCTTCACCACATCAGCTTCAGAAAGCCAGGGACAACACTGAGGCCAGATTATGTTTACAGGAAGTGAGGAAAAAACCAGCAGCAGGAATGTAGCAGTTGTTAGCTATGTATAGTTTTGGAAAGGAAACTGAAAACTAAACATGTGGTTTTCTCTAAGGTGATATTTCAAACTGGCATCTCCCCAGTGATCTGAAGGTGTAGGCTACAAGAAAGGGCTTGTTTAGTGCCCAGAAAGTGCCAGAACTAACATCCTAGCAGTGTTGTGCAATGAGAGCTTCTCTAAATGAGTAATGTTTCCTCCTGCTTGTGTCATACTCTGCTTAGGAAGATAGGTTCAGACTGGAATTGTTTTCTATCCTTAGTTCTCATCAGGACAACTCTTGTAGTTTGTTACATCCTACTTATAATGATACTTAGCTTAAGTAGCTAATCCTGCTCCCTTTAAAACATCGCTAAGACTGCTCAACTCTAGTGCCTTTTCTTCCATCAGTACACACAGTTTTCCTGCTTTTATCTGAAAAAAAGAAGTCTTCCCTCTCAACCATCTTAATGTACTTCTAATTTAAATAACAAACTTACACGATTTCCCACCCTCTGAAAGCATGGAAGAGGAAAAAGTACAGGTAGTTAACACCAAATTCAGCAGAATTTCTACAGTAGGATTCAGCCTAAAACAGATTTGAATTCTGATTTATGAGGGGAAAAAAAATCTGGAACTTTGCCAAGTATGCAAAACTGACTGAGCTCTTCATGTGAGATGCAGGAAATCAGAGAAGTCACAGGAGATTCACACAGTTTTACACAAAGCCAAAATAGACCTTTACTTCTCACTCTTCAGTGGTAGTACCCCAGCTGTTATTACATGCCAGTGCTCCAGTGCAGCAGCAACTCTCAGAGGGTTTATCACACACAGATGCTGCTCCAAGTCATTCATCACCATCTCCACAGCTTCTTCCTTTATGGGTTAAACATCCACACTACATGCTAGACAGTGAAATTATCACCTCTTCTTTTAAATTCTGATTACAGTGAAATTATCAGTGTGTTTTATTGAGGGATTGGGAGACAGTAGGGAAGTTGTCACAGGATTTAACAGTTCCAATTTAGCATTTGGCTATACCAAGTGAAATACTGAGGGATGTGTGCACATTTGATTGGTTAGAGGTTTCTGAGGAGGCTACTGCTGTCTTTTCGTAGCCAGGTCTCAATGTTTATAGCACAAGTACACACCAAGGATTAGGAAACAAAAGATAATTAAAAGCACAGCACATGTAGAGCTTCAAGAGGTGCCAAGTGTAGACTTAGACAAGACTCACGGCTTAATGGTGATGAGATCTCTGAAGCTCCCCACAGCACTGCCTCGGTTCCGCTTCTCAGCATCACATTTCTCCTTTGTCCAGGTCATCTGGATATTCTCAGGAACAGGGTCTGCCTCATCTTCCTCATCTGAGTAGAGGCTCTCCAGACGTGCTATTGAATGTCTGTCCTTGACAAGCTGAGCCTGGAGGGCACATGAGTGACCGGTGAACTCAGACTTTATTTTATGTTCTCTGGTGCGCTTTAAATAATTATAGACGTTTTCTTCCGTTGTAACTTTTATTTTGCTCACTCAATTTAGCCTTCAGGAGAGTTCTGATACCAGGCATCTGCCCTAGCCAAAAGTCTTACATACCAAACTGACTTTTAACAGTTTTGATGGGTGTAAGCCAAGCAGAATTTGGACTGACAGAAGCCTGTATCTATACAAGAAAAAAATGTCAGCCCAGCTCACATCATGACATGGTCAGGAACAGCAGACAAGACCAGCCAAAAAAAAAAGTTTTTTAGTTTGGACAACTAAAAAAAAAAGCTCAACAAACCCATGCAGAAAAGATGGATCATCTTTCATAGCTACATGTCATAGACATCACAGTCACATGGCCTCTAAGTCCAAACTGGAAAGACATCTTCAGTAGGAAAACAGGATATGCTATAAATTGACACAAATACCGGATATAAAGAAAAAAACCAAGAACTACATGCAATTTTGGGAAACAAAAAAAGCTACATTAGATGTATTTCCTTACATCTTTAGAGCACAGGAGTTAAATTTAAGCAGCAGGTACATAACACACTGCTAGGAAGGCACTTTGTGTCATCACCCTCAGCAGCCCATAGAGAACAACCACAAATGACATACCTCCCTTTCCCTCTCAGTTTTTGTCAGCCTCATTTGCCTCAGCATCTGAGATCTCTGCTCCATCATAAGAGTTCTCTCATAAGTATATGCTGAGATATCACTATTGTGCTGCAGAAATAAGGACAAATATTGTGTTTGTATTCAAGTCATAACCAAACATCATCATGTGCATAATAAAATGAAAAATGGCCTCAATTCCCTTACCATTTCTACCACTTCTACCTCTGCCTCTATTCGGAGCTGGTAGAGGAAAGTAGCCAAATCTTTCTTCATCTGGATGCTGTTATCATCCATCTGAGCAACAGTAAAAATTCTCATTTTGCATTTTCTCCAAACCTGGTGAGGGAACACCAACTCTCAGTTATTTGAACCAATAACACTTTGCTCTACAAATTAGAAACTTAGCAACATGTCCACTCTCGTTTATCAATACAGGCTCTACAACTGGATCATGTTTCTTTAAAGAATGCAGAAATAGGTGGGGGACATTCTCTGTGTAGCTGCTTACTTTGTGCTGTTTGAGAAGAAAAGGAAGCAACATCAACATGCCTCCATCATGCACAATCCACCACACATCAATGTTGCCTTCGTTGTAACGCTCGTGGTTGCTGGGGTAGAAAGAGACATTTTTGGGAACCAGCAGAGCCAGATGAGCTGCAGTTGTGCAGCGAACAGTACCTGCCCAGGAGGGGGAGAACACAGTCACTTCCAATTCTGCAAGAGTCATTTATGGCTAGAAAAACACTACTCACTGAGCAAGTGTCAGCAAACCATAAAAGCCATCACTTAAATAAAGAAAAGTATGTACAGCAAGGCTTGCACAGACAGGTCAGTCCCAGTGACAAAGCCAGGATAAAGCAGACTCACAGGGACACAAACCTTATTTCACACTGGAAAGTAAAGCAGCAACCTTCAAAGCTAAGTATGAGGAGACAGCATCTGCTCTGTTCAGATTTGATTAAGTAACTGGACCACAGTAGAATGAAAGAGATAGAGGCAAGGAGAGTGTTATCCACTAGAGAAGGATAGGTTAGAACCAGTGACAAAACAGAGATTATCTGGGAAACAAATTATAGTTTGCCACAAAACCGGCATGTCTCAAGCCCATGATTTTTTAACCATTCATTAGACACATGAGTTTTAGCTGCTAGATTAATCTTTGAAGATCTTTCTTAGGTCTTTTACCTAAAGGAAATTGTATTTCAAACAGAGCAGTTATGTGAGAAAATACCTACTTCTCCATCAATACTAGAAAAAAAGACAAACTCAAAACCAATTTTACAAGGTCTCTGTTAAAATCCCATGTGTGTAAAAAACATCTCTGTTCACAATGTCTGATCACACCAAACCTTTAAAGCTCACCTATAAATGTCTTCCAAGACCTTGGATCTTCACTCTGCCTCCAGCCATAGGGCCACCCCAAAACCACAGTGTTGTGCTTCATGCCACCAAGTCCACAGGACTGGATCAAGTGAGCAATTCCTTCTCGAACTTTATTGGCTACAACCACTTGACAAAATCCTTTAACCTTCTCAATTTCCATCATATTCTTGATAGTCTGAAAGACAGACAAGGAAAAATCTCAGTTTTCCTTTCCAAAATGAACTCCTTTATAGACAGGATATTTCTTTGTCATGAGATCATAATGTAAATTCCTGGTTCACATGTCCACAGGTAAAGCATATTACAATGCAAAGTTCTGCTCATCACATTTCCTTCATAAAACAAAAGAGGAAACATCCACTTGTTTAAAACACTGTTTCTTTCCAAACATCAGCATTTCTAACAGATTGAAAGATTTTTTGGTTTGTGGTATCATCTCTTATTCATAGTAGTAGATAGATCTGTGTTACTATTTTACTTTCCATTTTCTAATTCTATAACACTCACCTTTTTAAACCCAAGGCCAATTGACTTCATTTGGATTTCCAGTTTCAGATTCCCATGTAACATGCTGTATTATATTAAATTTACAAATATAAGCACCAAAACCCACACACTAGCAGGTATACCTTTTATTTGTTTAAAAAGAAAACAAACTTATCAACACATAGTTATTAATTAGCTTTCCTTTTGTAACAATTTTCCTACAGAAAAAGCCTCTGGGGGAAAAAAGTGAATACACTGAAGCTATACAGATGTAAACAGGGCTATGATGTCATGTTTACACAATGAGGAAAATTAAGTAATTTATTAAAAAATTTTCAGGACCATCCTTCAATGCTTTTTGTAATAAATTTATCAACACACTGAAAAGCAACACATTTCCTAAGTTTAACAGTTACTGAAACCACAGAACCACTAGGTTGGAAGAGACCTCTAAGATCACTGAGTCCAACTCATGCCCTAACACCTGAACTAAACCATGGCACCGAGTGCCACATCCAGGGATGGTGACTCCACCACCTCCCCAGGCAGACCATCCCACTGCTTTATCACTCTTTCCATAAAAAGCTTTTTACTTGGAATATTCAGAAAACTAAACAGTCCCCTTCCTTCCATTAAGCAGCATTCAGAAACTTCTACAGTCATTATTTCCTATAAATGAAGGCAGTTTTATGCAGTAAGGCTGTTTACAATGGTGAGCATTGATCTGCATTCCCAAAAGCACAACTGGCAGCTGAAACATTTTTGCAAGTCCCTTCCTGAACAGCTGTAGCACTGCTGAACTTGTTCTGTGTTTCATGGAAGCCTTATCAAGATGCTTTTTTCCACGTATGATTACAAAACAAAATTTTGCATTACCTGCCCACTCACCCCTTTCTACTTCAGGATTTAGGACACTGACCTGCTCAGCAGCCTGGGCTTCTCCATAAGTTTCCAAGAAATTCCCTTGGATGACTGATCCTATGATAGTCAAACCTTTACCAGCTTTCAGCTGGGATGCAAATGTTAACAGTCTAGGGTATTTTACATGCAAATCTTCATCAAGCTTCAGAAGCACCAGCAACTGAGGCCTGGAGAAAATAAAAAAGACAATGTATTTTTTAACTTAAGTTTTAACAATGACACATGTTAAAAAACTGCCTCTCATCACTTATACTGGGCTTAAATTTTAACTCTGAAACATTCTTTCTGTCTCTCACACATTTGAGGGATTTTACTTAATATTTTCTTTCTCTTGGTTTAAAGTAGATGTGAAACTGGGAATTCTGCTGCTGCATTGTGCTGACAGTAATAAAACCTGCTGATATACTCAGCTTGAGAGGCTTGCATCTGTTTTATTTACAGGCATGTTTTTCAAGGCTTTTTTAAGTACTACTGGAGCACACATAGTGTTCATACTGTAGGGCTGTTCTCCCAGATCTATCTGGATACTTGTGCCAAGAAAATATCTGTATTCTGTCTCCAGAAACCTGGCATAGGGAAAACACAAATATTTTCATCTAAACTCAGATCCCACCTGCCTACTGTTCCTTAAGGTATTGCTACACAATCAATCAAGTCACTTTCTGTCTGAACAAGTATAAAAAGATTTATAAAACTCTGTCTTTGATAGATTCCTCTTGCTCTTGTTCAGAGCCCAAGGGTTGTACAATGCCCAGCCAAGAGGGTTCTTGCTCACTGTTTTCAACACCAAGAAGAGAAGACTTCAGAAGGAATAACGTTGGCCACTGCTCATTTCCTGGTATCTACACCTCTGTACTCACAGACCTCCAGTTTCCCCAGGTTCCACTTCTGAATTCACCAATTTGGAGTCCAGTTAAAGATCCAAAGGGCACTAAAGGTCTGCCCATACCGGGTCCACACAGTGACAGGACAGCTTACTGCAAACTCAACACTTTTTTTTAATATCCTGGGCATTTAAATTCTTTCACACTCTTGTTTAGAGTCCAGTTTAATTCCTTGAGTGTAAGCAGAGAACCATGCCAGCCATTTCACCAGTCCAGGGTGAGTACCTCCAGTTCTTGGTGTGTGGAGGGCCCTCCTCCAGTCTGAGCAAGGCGTATCTGGCAGCGCTGAGTGACAGGCCCCGGATGCCATCACCCCACTCCTTCTCTGCCCTGTGAAGAACAAACACTTCAGCCACCACATGGCTCCAGGAGCACTCAGCTGCACACTTACATCAGGCTACAGAGCTCTGAGCACCTTACAGTGGGTTTAATAACATGACATGTATGGCATCTATATTTATAATTTGTGCATGAATGTCTGCGATATCACAGATCACGTAAGAAAAGTGAAGATGCTTCAGTAAAATATATATATGATGAACCACCATTCTGGGCTTAATTTGTAATCAACACTACAGAGAAGGCTTCCCAAGCATATACAAGCATCTGGCATTTCAACATCCAATTTAGTTAATAGATCAAATTAAATTAGAAAACCACACTACAGCCTGACTCCATCCAATGCTGATCTCCAGCAACCCAAGCAGCCAATTCAAATTTTCAAGGACTGATCTAGACAGAACTTTGCAGATAAACTGGAATATAATGGTTGGCATCAGCAGTTCTGGGCCTGAAGTAATCACCTGCAGTACACAGCAGATAGATCCCAACCAGCTTTCTACTTCCTATGATTCATGTTTCACCTACCAACTTTAAAGGGTTAACAACAAAGTAGTTCAGGGGCTTTTGCTTAGCAGTGACACAGTAAAACAATGAAAACAAAAATTAACTGATAAGGAAAGCCCTCCAAGTCATCTCTGGACAGTTCCTTTTCCAAATGTGAAGACTCTAGAGATAATTCATTAAATTATCCAGCCTCCCTCTTACCCTTTCTTATGCAGTTAATACTTACCCTTGGTACTCAATGTACTTGTAAATCATGCCTGCAATAAGCATGGCCACCAAAGCATAATACCAGGATGAAATGAACATCAGTGCCAGGCAAATGCTCATGCCTAAAAATGAGAGGGCCCTAAAATGGAAAGCAAAGGTATTAATAAGTAGTGGGGCAGAAAAGCTTAAAAAACAAGTCAATTATATTCTTGCTCTTTTTTCTTTAAACTGTCTGTGCTGAACTGGCAGTGAAAGCAAAGCCTCCACTGGATGTCCCCAGTCCCACCAGTTTTAGTGCCCTGTTGTTGAAATGAAACTCTTGTGCCATGACATATCTGAGTCTGGCTCTCGTGTACAACTGGTACCCAGAGCAATAAAAGCTGCTCCCTGCCCTCCTGGAGAAGGTTCCCAGGTGCAGATTGCAGGCCAGCTCCCCACTCACCAGTGGTAGTATTTAAAGCGTGGCCGCCAGTTCGGGGTTCGCAGAAGTGTCTGCACTGCGCATGCAAGATTAACAAAGAGGTAACACATCAAGAAAAACCTGCAAAACAGAGTGCAAAACCTTTTAGCATGCACATTTATAGTTCCTGGCATATATTATGATGACATGATTGATTTAAAGTCAAAACCCCACTGTACTGTCCCATGCCCTGTACCCCTACCCCTCTGATTTTTATTAGCCTGAACTATTAGCATAAAGTAGCTGGAACAATTTTTTAATTGGATCAAGTTAGATCTGTTCACAGCATAATGCTGTCATTGTTCTGTGATTAAAATGGGTTTTTTTTAAAACCAAATAAAAACATAATAAAAACTTGCTTATTCACAGAATACTCCAGAAGAGAAACAAATAGATTTATATGTAGAGCCTGAAGTCAGACGATTCATAGAAATTACAGATGTGGAACTCAGGCTCTGGAAATCTGCTTAACTGGTTTAAGATATATTTCTGAAAGACAACCAAACTAGCAAAACTCAAGAGCATTTCTACCCCCTACGAGACAGCAACCAGCCTGTTTCTTACATTGAGAGAATTGGAGCCACCATGTCAAGTGAAGCAATAAGGATTCCCAGCTCAGCAATTAATGCTGTTAACAGAAGAGCCCACGTTGGTTCACCATTCGCTTTTCCATGACCAAAGATCTGAAGAAACAGAAACATTAAGCAAATCCTCCTGGTATTTCATAAGGTTGTAATTGGAAAAAAGAAAATTATATTTTTTTAAATCAACAGTAATTCTCTTACATACTTCCTTCTCTAGAGTAAGAAGTCAAATTATTCTAACGGCTTGCCATGCTTTACAAAATTAGATGTTCAACTTCTAGAAAAAAATTACCCCGTAAGTCTAGTTAAAAACCCTTCAAAGTATTCTTTGTTTCCAACAAAAGCAAAAAACCCATCAAAATAAAAAATACTGCCCCTCCCTTCAGCGCTGTGCAAAGTGGGGAGAATAAATCTGATTTTAAGGGCACGAAGGCAGTCAGTGTGGGCAGCTGGCGAGGCAGCAGGGCCGGCAGCCCGCGCAGGTACCCACCCAGAGGAAGGGGATGATGTTGTCCTTGGCGATGGCCTGCAGCAGCCGGGGGGCCCCAGTCAGGCTCTGCAGCCCCGCCCCGCAGGTGGAGAAGAAGGAGCCGATGACGATGACCCAGGGCGAGGGCCAGGACAGCGTCCCCACCACCAGGTTCCTGTTCACAGCATCACCGAACCTGCAGCGGCAACACACCCGCTCTCGTACCCCAAGGACCGCTTTGAGACTCATCCTTGGGGCTTTCAGGGCACTTTTAGCATGTCATTTAAATACTATTATTAATAATATAATAGTTTAATTGGTATGTTAATATTTAATATCATGCATATTTAATAAATATTTTGATATCGTATTTTAATATGTTATAGTGTATTGTTAATAACACTATATTATTTTCTTAACTAGAGAACACAGAAAGTAGCAAATAATCTCATATCTAATCAAATATCTCATATCTAAGCAAATAATCAAATATCTCTGATGTACAGATTGGAAGTGTCTGCAGCTTGATTTCAACATTTCTTTTCATTACACATATTTTAAAATTCTTGTATTATTATCACAAAAAGGCAAGAACTAAGACACAGGATGGAAAATCTGAGGGTGCCATGCCAGAAAATATCAAATGGAATACAAGAAGATTCCAAAAACTGTGGTCACACTTTACATACAAGTATGGTTTAAAAGGCACCCAGAAGTAAATATTTTTTTTTAATTAAAAATACACCTTAAAATCACTTCAAAGAAAAGGCTTTTTTTTTTTTAGAAAAGGGAACTAAAATTTATGAATTCTCCCATTAAACTCTCCCTTCATCTTAATGTTTCACTGCAACCTAAAAAACAAAAAAATCTCAAAGTACACCACCATTAATTAAAAAGAAAAAAACAACAAGGAGAGGAGTGGGGCACACAGAGAAAACAGGCAAGAACACACCTACACTGTAAAAAAAGTAAAACAAAGGAGAGCACTAAAGCAGTAACACTTACTTATCTCTCAGGACAACACCTTCTATGCAGGCTCCAAATAATAACACACAACTGAAGTCTGGAGGACAGAGTGTGCTAAGGAAGCAGAATTTATTTAGACATGGCAGATGAAAGCATTGTGGAAAGGACAGTATGTGCCTCCATCCTGTGGCACTTGCACTCCAGCTTCTCCACAAGTACATGGTAAAGCTGGCAAGGAAATTAATGTCTCCCTGCTCACATGCACCTCCTAATGTTACAGAGAAAGCTTCTTCTAAGTTTCAGTTTTTAAAAAGGACAAGTTTAAATGCTATGAAAAAGGAGAAAAAAATCAAATGAACCATTTTTGTACTAAAATGTCAATTTAATCTTCTGCTGATATGAATACAGAATTATTAATACTAATACAGAAGCTGATATTAAAATCTTGCTTTTCTCTCTCCTTCTCCTGTGTCTGATATTTTGAACTACAGCAAACCATTACCTTGCACATTCTTTTTTTTTAATCTCTGCTGGCATTCACATCACCAATAAGTCTTTGGCTATCAGGTTTGTTTGTTTGTTATTAACTGTACTGTTTCAGCATTGAGGAGTACAAAATACCTCAGGCTTTTTGGATCTGGCATTCCAGTAAAGTTTTTGACCTTGTGAATAAAGTTCACACAAATGGTTAAATCTTGAATTCTACCCCTGAAATGCAACTAATAAGTTACAAACTGCAATTACAGGAGAAACATTGCTCCTGAAAGTGACAGTGTCACCCTGGTGTGGCATGAACAGGGACACATCCAGATCCAGTCACCCACTGGGTGAGGCCAGAGCTGCCAGCAGAGCTGGGGGTTAAGGCTGTGACCTCTTTTAATATTTATTACATCCACAGGAAATGCTGACTTCTTGGTACAGGGTCAGTTCCCAAAGTGACAGCAGGGACATGCTGCATTCCTGAAGAGCTGGGACAAGCAAGATGCATCCTGATTTACAGCTTGGCAAAAAACCAGGAATGAAACAGCACAATTTTCAAAACAGTCACCATCTCAGCCAGCTGCCCTTTGGATGAAAATGATTCACCCAAAGGGTGAAAAAGAAAGCTCTTTTGATTTTTTTTCTATGTTGATAAATTGTCCTTTAGGATACCAAGAGCTAGATAAAACTGAAAGATCTTGGCTCATCTCTTCTTGAGCAGGAGAGCAGAGATGAAGACAGTCTTTCTTAAGCAAAGCTCCTGTTCTCCTAAGCCCTGAAGAGCTGAAAAAACACTTGGGAACATTGTCTAATTTCTGAATCCAGTTTATCTTGTTCTAAAATGTTCAAGAGAACCTATACTCCTTAACGTCACTCCAAAGAAAAGGCTTTTTTTATAGAAAACAGAACTGAAATTTATGAACTCTACCATTAAAGACTCCCCTCATCTTAATGTTTCACTGCAACCTTAAAAAAAAATCTCCAAGTACACCACCAGCATGAAAAGCTAGAGATCACTGTGTAGCAAAGAACAGCAATGGGAATGCAAAAGAAAAGAACCCACCACAAAAAAGGGGATGGAAAGTTACAGGATAATAATTACAATTCTTTCAGCTCTAGGATTAATGTTCTGTTGTTTTGGGGTTTTTCCCCCACTGGCCAATCATACTTGCACTGATAATTTGGTGAGCTGAAAGCAGTTCCAGAAATCAGACACGATGTCCCAGCAGTCCAGTAATTTGAAAAGGATACAGACTAGTGATGTGGTGACAATGGCAAGAATTGTTCCAACAGGGATGGACTTCTGTGCATCTTTGAGGTCCCCTGATCTGTTTGAACCAGCCATGATACCTGAAAGCACATTTTGGTAAGATCTGAGGGCAGGAGGAAGCTCAGAGCCCCAGCAGGTCCCTCATGCCAGCATTCTCACCAGTCACTGAAGGGAAGAAGATGCCAACGAGCACCATGAAGGACGTGGTGATATCTGAGAGCACGTACAGGTGCAGGTTGTTCTTCTGGCCTGCCACATCCACAGAGGGCTGATGTGCCCTCTCCAGTATCTCTCCTTTCTCCAAATAATTGCTCCATAAGTTGTCTTCAAGGTTATTATCACACCACAGAAAAGAAAAGCATGTTTCAGTTCAAACCTGTTCTCATTATAATGGGTTTACAACTGAAAATTATAAATGCAATTCAGTGATCAACACAGGAAAACCACAAACATGTATCAATAGTCTATAGAAGTCTAAGCAACTTAAACTTTATTATTACTAAATGTAACATCCTTTTAACCTCATACCTGCTTCAACCAAAGGAAATACACTGAATATTTTTATGAGCCACCACACAACACAGTAGCTCAGAGAATACAAAGCAATATCAACCAGTTTTCTAGACAGAAATGGGCTTGTTCTTCAGTCAGTGGAAGAATTACAGAACTATATGTTTGGCATTTGAAATTTCACTAACAAATGCTGAGCCTTCTTGTAATCTTAGAAACCAGGCTGCTGGTTTGTGTGGAAATGGGAACCTCTGGCACTCAGCACCTGCTCTCTGGTGTTCATTTCAATAATGAACACTTTTCAATTATACTTTATTCAGGGGTGGGTAAAGAAGGAGACATTATTTCTATACAAGTACTCTTATCTTTCAGGGCATAATGTTAACCTGTCTAAAGAAGAGAGCTGTCACTATAGAGTTCTGAAAAATTTTAATAACTTTTTCATGTTAGTATAACTTAAAATTACAGCTGACTTCATACTGAAATTATGAGATGAACAAGGGAAATTTAATTAATTTTACAGGACACAAGTACTGTATCAGCACAAAAGTTCCATCCCCTCTTTTTAAAGGTTATAAGACTTTCTATATTGAAGATCATTTTCTTCACTGTAATTACATTTCTTCATTCCTTTTTTCCTAACCAGCAGGGAAGAGTTTGACCCATTTCAGCTGCTCAGCATGCCTCCTCTTTAAGGGGGAAAAAAGCTTCTACCATACCTATTAAAATGCCACTAGCAGCTCCTGGAATTCCTGCTATCTCCGAGACATTGTTCATTAGGAAATATTCATCACAGTGCTCCGTGGTTAGGTTTGTGCTGTGGCAGAAGAGTTCCCAAAGCTTGGAGGCCACAGTCATGTTATCCTTAACTACAGTTTTGGCACAAACATCAAACTGATCTCTTGACAGAGTCCTGTTGCCCAACATGCAAATCCTGGAAGGGAAACATGAACACTAGAGTTATTGAATGTAAATGGGAAAATTAAATCCACACTTATCCATACTTATTCTTTTATATCATGTGGAAACTTCCAGTGACTCTACTGTGCTACATCATTTCTCACCTCCAAAAGGATGGTGGTAGCACAACAAAGACTGTATCTGTTCCCTTTAAGGGCCAGAAATACAAAGCTACTTTTTTGATTTATGGAATTTGATTGATTTATGTTGAACAATAAAAGGGAACAGTTAGGACAACTTTTGGTTTTTTTGTTGTTTGGCATTGGTTTCTCTTTTTTTATTAAACAGAACTACTGGAGTGGAAGAAATGTGAAGAGTACTAGAATTAAAATTACTACATATTTAGAATATCTAAAGATATTTGGAATCTCATTAGCCCAGTTTCTACACTGCAACACTTGAATTGCAATATAGACATTTTGGATTCAAAATTAGGAACATATATTAAAATCCCAATAAGCAAAAGTTCTTCTTGTCAGCAGATACTGTCTTTAATTGCTAAAATCCTCCACTGCCTGTTGTATTTCATCTAACCACAAACATCATTTATTTCAGCATTGAAAAACTTCTAATCCACTTGTCTAAAGACAATTCCACCAGATAGTGATGTAATGTAACAGCTTCATGCTCCTAAAAGCTCATTTAGCTTTTCTTCCCACTGTCAGAAAACACCCACAGGAAAATAAAGCTTCTTTAATTTTAATTAATTATAATTCCATTTTAATTGTTTCACGGGTCCTATTTATCACTGAAGACACAAAAACAAGGGCTGTTTTTGCACGTTTGCAAGCCTGTGAACTGTAACTTCCAAGAAGCCTTTCCCTATAAAATTAAAAATAAATACACTATCCTGTTACTTCAGAGAAAAAAAAAAAAAAAGGATTACACTCCAAGAAGAGAGATAGGGAAAACATTCAAGAACAATCTAAGAGATAATAAGAGGGATGTAGAGACATTGTTTTACTTTTACTCCTGTAAACCTTCACTGTTGTAAAACACTATAATCATTGGGCCTTAAATATCCAAAGGGAACACTTGAGGGCTGCAAGCACTGAGTTATGGTCAAAGCATTTCAAAATGTGAATAATTATGCAGATCCAACTCCCCTATTTCCATTCCATTCATCTCTTGTCAGCAGCATCAGAAAACAGTTTGCATTCCTGGTAAAACACATACATCCACATTAGTGCTGCCCCAGCTCTGAGCTGAAGGAGCTGATTCCATGTTGAGCTGCCAACATGCCAAGGAGCTCCTGCTGGGTGCAGGGCAGGCTCCTCACAGACAGGGAAAGCTCTTGTGGAGCCTCACACAGCCCCACATCACACTCCCAAGAGGTGCCCAGTTTCCCAGCAAGGAGTTGACCACACCAGGAATTTCCAGCCACAAAAGCAGCGTGTGGTGTCTGAGTGGCTGTGGAAAAGGGACCTGCCAAACTCCTCCCTTAGAGCTCACAAATAACCCAGCAACACCATCACTCCAACCCCAACAGCTGCAGGCCAAGAGACTGGATTGGCTTTGCAGGAAGCAGAGCAGTGTCAGCCTCCATTAGCCTCACCACGAGACTTCCTTCTACCAAAACAGTATAAAAAGTGTAATAACATGTTCATTTTAGCCTGAGAAACTTCAGTTCCATGAGTTCTGCACACTGTCATTAAACACAGCTAAAAATATTGGAAGTAATTCACAAAAAAACAATGTATCAGGCACAAGCTTCAAGTAACCTACATGAAAGTAACCAACTTCCAGACCCACAGGCAAAGCCACAGCCCCCATCCAGAAAGGTTACTCACGGAAATTCAGGTGGATCAAAGATGGACTTGATAGCTCCAGCATAAATGGACAGGATGGATATCACTACACAGGCCAAGAAGAGGGAAGCAAATTTGTTGACATATTTCACACCTACAAACACCACCACTGCCATCAGGATGAGGAACACGGTGCCATAGACCCTCATGTTGTTCAGCATGGCACTGGATGCATCGTGGGCATCAGAGGGATGGAAAATTGCTGCTTGTGGCACAATATATGTCTGGAGCAAAGAGAAAGCAAAGTGAGCTGGAGGAACACCAGCACAGAACTCTATGTTATAATTATTAACTAGTTATTAACTGCTTAAATAACTTCAGTATTTAAGCTCCACAGTTGGAAGACTACACAAGTGACAGCTAAAATCAAAGGCAATACAGCCAATAGGAAAACATCTGCTTTTTTAGTAGTGACCAACTACAGTCACTGCCACTTTTTAGGGTATTTTAAGGTATTCAACAGTGCATATGTAGATTGGGATTGTGTACTGTACTAGAAATGTAAATCACTTTGCATTCTGCAGCAAGCTCTTCACTGGGAATCTTTTACAGGAAAAGTCAAGAGATAGCAGCCCTTTCTATGTCAGCAGTACAACTGAGCCACCTCTATCAAAGCTGAGCATGAGCCCTGCATTAGGGCACTTTCATCTGTCTTGTCAGAAGAGCTCCCAGTCCACTCAGTGTGTGCAGCTTCCAAAGGGAAGCACCAGAGGTAAAGAACTGCACACCAAGGAACTGGAGACCTTCCAGTCTCTTCTTGTTAATGTGTATGCAAATATGGGACAAGAGTACTGGGGCACTTTCTGTATGTTATTTGTCTTTAAAGCAGGATTACTCTGGTACTACTCACCAATAAAATCTCAATGGCACCAAGGATATACATGGCTCCTGCAAATGTTGTTCCCAAATAAAAACACAGCCCTACAGCTCCACCAAACTCTGGGCCCAACGACCTAGATATCATGAAATAGGAGCCACCAGCTGTGAAATAAGAAAAGTGATAGCAAAATTATAATTTATTGCTATAAATGTTTAAATATTCACAAAAAGAATACCACAGAATTATATACATTGTATCTGCTATTTAGAGGTTCAACTGAAGTATCATTTTTGCTGGCACATGAGTAAAAGCCAAATAAATTGATCTTTAGCTTGATTGATAACAAGAAGAAATATTAGATATTAATTTAGGATCTGTATTCTGGATTAAGCAAATTTCTCTAGAATAACACCATGTTAACAGCTTATAGCAACTTAGGTTTTGAGGGTTTTTTTTACCTTTTAACACAACTGAGACACTTGCTAACTACACTTACCTGGAACAACACCATTGGTGGCAATTGCACTCATTGATATGGTTGTCAACATAGTCTGGAGAACACAGGAAAAGGAAGCAGTTGTGTCAACACCATTTTTTAAAACATAACTTATTTCTTGATAAAATAAGCTGCCTCTGCATATACGATACAGCATTTCTATTTATTCTGCCTCTCACTATCTAAAAGAAAATAAGGGCAGCAGGAATTTAATCACTGAGCTGTTGAGACTTCTGTTTGAGAGATGGCCCCTGCTTTATCAGGTCCAGCAGTGGGTGTCTGCAGACAGAGCAAGATAAGGGAATGCAGGTGTTCCTCCATCTGCAGAGCTGCGATTCCCACCAAGGCTGGTCCAGCAAAGCAGGCAGCCCACACCTGGGGCAGGCATGGAAAACAGCTATTTGCTGAACAAACACTATCTGTAAGACTGTATTTACACTACAGTTTGCCAGTTTAGAAGTAACAGTAAAAAAAAAAAAAAAAATCCTGCAGCTACAAACATGGCAAAAGTGCCTGACGTAAATCTGACTTTTCTTTATACAAACACCTACAATGCTGCCTCCCCAAGTTTCCCAGTAGTTTCACAGAGGTTTTGTCAAATGCATTATTGTACCTAAGTACTTACACAACAGCAGCAAAGCAATACAATCAGGAAGGACTGAAGAACTCCAGCCATTCCCACCATCCAAGTCAGCCGAAGGAAGAGAATGACCCCGAAGATATTCTGCATGCATGGCAGATACACCCCCATCAGGGTGCCCATGCTGGGTGACTGGAAAAAAAAATTATATTCTTTAACTGAAATTATTCAAAGCAGAGGTAACCAAAAAGGCCTTGAAGTTCATTTTTTTAAAGGGTAGAAACCTGGGAAACCTAAGGTAGACACACTCAAATAGTGTTGTGCAGGACTTCAACAAAATACAACATAAACTCCAAAATCATGAATTTCTGAACAAAATGCTGTCCCTGTCACATACTTAACTAATTAACCTCAATATTTAACACTGACTAGTAACGACAGGAGATACATTTATTTGGTTTTTTGTAGACCCATAGAATTTTCAATATGAAACATGTCAAGTGCTGCAGACCCCAAGACAGATCCTTACCTACTGCCCAGAGTTCACAAATTAGTTTCAAGGAAAACATACTTTTGTCATGTTACAACTAGAAAAGATTTGGAACCAATATGGAGACATGGATAATGTATTTTCTTCCATGTTATACATTTCATTTAAAACTAATGGTTCTACCCTTTCTTAAGTTCAATGTCAGCATCAGACTCTGAATTCTTTTGTCAGTGACTGAGAAAACACAAGTTACATGACTTCACAGGAACTGCACCTGACTGGCCTTCAACACAGCATCCTGCAGAAAAATCATCCAAAATAATGGCATCACAATGCCACTGGTGAGGACTTTATTCCAAGGAATATAAAAATGTTTGTTGCATTGGTGTACCTGGCACCAGCAGCATTTCAGAGTCCAAATCTCTGTGGTTTCCTGCCAAGATATTCCATTGCTTCTGCTTTTTAAGGTTTTGTTTTGCACTTAAAATTATACTGAATTCTAAAACACAGGGGGAATAGAGTGTAAAGGCTCATCCTTTTTCATACTCCCTTCTATAAATAAACATGAATTCCAAAACACATTAGATAGACAGCATTTAAAGAAGCCGTTGAACCGTCATTCAAATGAGAAGGATATTAAAGGGAGATGACAAAACTTGTTCAAATTTGACTCCACACAGGATTAACTAGGTGCAACAATAAATAGCACCTTTATAGACAAATGAAGTCATGAACCCAAAGCAACAGTATATAAGACAAGCAATAAAATGTGTGCCAAGAACTTTACATAAGGTAATTCAAGAGTGTATTTCATTACACAAAGCAAAACCCTTAAAGAATCACATGTTTAACATCACCAGGTGAAAAGCAACCAAGGAATTTAGTGCTTCAACTTGCAATTACATGTTACAATCCAGAATTTCCTCATCTGCACTAGAAACCTGCCCTGCCAGACATGAAACAAAATCGTGCCCAAGAACATGATCTGAACTGTTCTTCATGAGAAGTGCCAGGAGCTGCTGGCTGAATTTTTTGAAGTCAGTTTTGAATTCCTTGACTAAAACTGAAACAGATCCATCAGACTTCTCTCATACACACCACAGCTCAGGTGAACCTCCTGAAGGAAAGTGGATGAAGAATCTTGTGCTGAGGGTTTGCAGGGGAGTTACCCTCTGAGACCTGCAAGCACAGGCCAGAGCTGTTCCTCAGCTGTTCCAGTGCCACAGTACCAAAACAAATTAATTCCCTAAACCATCACCTGCCATTTTTTACAAATTACCATCCTAAATATCTAACCTGATCAGCTTTGCCAGGACTATGTATGAGGAAAAAATGAATTGTTGTCAGAAATGACACATGTTACATAAGTGTCCTGATCAGGGCAAGGTAAGGATTTTTTACTGAGTTATTCCACTGCTATAATTGAGGAGGATCTTCATGGAGTATTATTTACAGTGTACTTGCTTCCTCAAGGAAAGGAAGGTGTAGATGCTTTTGATTCCAACACTTTCATCTGATTTACACTGTGTCTTTAACCCCATAAACATAAATTCAGAAAGGAATTAATAGACATTGCTCAGCACAGGGGCTTCCCACTGCCACTTTGCCTCTCAGGGACACATTCCACACAATTTTATCATCATCTATGTGACCATTCATCCATCAGTCCCTCCCTCACAACATCTCTGAGCCCATCAGGTGAATTTATCAGATATGTGACTATCTCAGGATAAAGCAGTTAAAGAGTTTGTCAAAACTGGCATCTGGGAAAAGAAGCCCATCCTGTTGCTCCTCCACAGGAGAAGTAAATACACCATGGTTTTTGGGTTTTCTACATGTCAGTCCTCCACACACTAGGAAAGCAGCTGAGATTTCAGCCTGCCCTTTACACCTGCTTCCTCTGCATGAGAATCCACTTCAGCTCAGCTCTTTCCTACCTTCTGCCCTATGTGGTCCCTGCAGCTTTGCTCCACTGCTCCATTATCTTCTCCCCCACCCTCCCAAATGGCCTCTCAAGCCTATCAAGTTACAAGCTCACTTCAACCACAGAGGAAGAGAAATTGTGCATTAGTTGTCCACTTGTGAGACCACTGCAGAGCAGAGCAGCCTAGGAAATGCCCAAGGGTCTGCTCAAGCAAGTATCACTAACTGTATCTCAGGCCTAAGAGTTTAGTCTGGATTACTTTACCCAATGGAAAAAAAGTTACTCATAAGAAAGAACAATTTACAAATATTACTTGAAGCAGCTTGTTCACAGAAATATTTAACACCACTAATCTGCAGTGACTTGATTCTTTTTTTCATCACTAAATGATACTAAACCAGTGCTGAAGTTTCAACAGAATGTGACCTTAAACAAGGGTATTACTATGTTCAGCCTCAACAGCAACCACATGAAAAAATGTAACACCCCATGCTGCATGAAGGAAATGAAAGAAAGACAATTTGAAGAACACCATTTTAGAACAACCAGAAGGGACAGAAAAATCTCAAAAACAGGCTCAATTTCAGTGATGTAGATCATGTTTCTGTTCACTCTCATCAGCTGCAGACACATAATTTATGTAAATATTGATCTGAGTCTGAAGGACACTATTTCCATTGTGCCAGTGTGATGGGTTATTAAAGCCCTTGGCTGCAGGGCTGAGGGACATTGATCAGCAATGACAGCTCTCATGGTGCTCTCTAGCATGAGGACAGACAGCAGCACTGCCTTGAAATTAACTGCCTTGTTAAAGATACATGAACAAAAACAGTTTGTCTAACTTTTTCCATCATGATGAGAAGGGGATACTTCTATAGCACTGTGACTGTTAAGTGACTTATTGCAAAACTGTGTTTAGAAAAGAAAAAGCAACCCAATTTCCACCTTATTACATTGGGGTTGTGTCAATTTTACCTGATATGTGCCTAACAGAGAATGCTACTACCAAAAATATTTAGTGGGGTCACTGAAAGAAGATAAATGTTCATATCAAGATGTCTTGCACTGAAATGAATTTGAAAGGATGTGATTTGGCAGGCAGGGCTGTGCTAGGTCCCAAAAGTCCTCACTGAGAGACCTGCCTTACCTGCTCAGAGAATTACAGTCACTTGCTGAAAGGATTGCTTTCCTCAGTTCATTTTTAAATATCAGATCTAGAGCTTGCTCACCTGCCTTGCTCCAGCTCTTGCCTGTGAGATGCCAATTCCAGCAAGTGACAGGCAGGTCACTCCTTGTCACACCAGCTGAGCACACCCAGGGCAGCACCAAGGGAGGGTTAACAGGGGTTTATCCACCAAGGGAGGGTTAACAGGGGTTTATCCACCAAGGGAGGGTTAACAGGGGTTTATCCACTTCAAACAGAGCTGCTGGGGCTGGAATGGACTGCCAGGCTTCTGTTCTCATGCTCAGATGGAAAGGACAAGGTAACAGCAGCACAGTGATTTATACTGCACAGATGACTAAAGAGAATTATGTAGAAGAACCCTGCACTGTTTCTGAATACCTTCAATCCATACCCTTGTCCAGTTACTGCTTTGAAATTTCCTGTGTTTAATGATTATAATTATTGGCCAAGGTTTTCAGTCGTCTTATATTCTGCATGATGGCTAAAATTTTATATTGCTTATGGCAAGAGAGGGAGAAGAAATTCAAGCTGCAGTTATGATATTGCAGCTGATGTAATTTATCCCAGAGACAGACATGCAGACAAAGGTTTGCCTAAGGAAACTGCAGTGTTTACACAGAAAACACTGAGATATTAATACAGCTTGATACTGTCACTTTTGGAAAGGTCACCAAGCCCATCCTACAAAAACATCTGAGAAGTCTGTGAACACACATTTCTGGGACATGGGAAAGCATAATTCAGGAAAACACAGTTATTAAACCTGAACTCCATTTTGCCATAGAAGCAAAGCTTTAATAAAGATAATAGTCCTTTTTAATGGCAGTAAACAGCTTGAAAACAGGCAAGCATGAATCATACCTAAATGCAGAAATATTAACACCATACCATGCATGGTACTCCACCAGGGACTGAAAAGAAGTTCTCAATTTTCTGGTATTTGCCCCATTTTTACCTTGTGAAGTTTTATACACATCTGCTTTAACCAACTGTATGCTACAGTCCCATTGCCAAATTCTCCCAATCCTTTTTCCATCAGGGAAGCAAGGGACTAACTTCCAGATTGCTCTGCAGCTTACCCTGGTATTCTGGTCAGTCAATTAATAAGGGAATAAAGAGCAAAGTGATCAGAACTTCCTCAAAATCTCAACAACTGTATCTATTGTATCCTCCACCATTCTACTTTTGTCAGGGAAATAATCAATCTGCTTCTGACAGCAAGAGGATGAAAATTATTTTAGATTATGAAATAATACCATATTAGAAGCTGATGCCTGACATTATTCTCACCAAAAGCATGCTAAAACAGAGATGCAGCTGACATTCCTCATTAGTACTGTGAAGGTAAAAACTTTGGACAAGACTCAGCCATTAATATAATAGCAAGTACCACACAAAAGAAAATCATAACTAAAATGTTTAAATTATTTTTTTAATGTCAGCTTATAGGACCAGAATGCAGCTACTTCACCCAGGTGACCTTAGCTCAGTCCTGGCATGATGTAAAATTAACCACAATATTGCAGCACTTTCAGTGGATGTGGTCTCAAATAAAATTGAATTTTAAGCTTCACGTTGACAAAAGAATTTTGTTATCCCAAGTGTACAACTGCAGAGTAAGGGCATTCAGCATGGGGTAACATGCTTGCTCCTTGAGAGCACAATTGGTTTGCAACATTATCACTGCCATCTCTTTCTGAAATGGCTCAAGCTTTGGAGGGCAGTGCCAGAAAACCTGCAGAACTCAAGTGCTATCTTCGCTTTTTTGGAAACCTTTCTTTTCACAGAACTTGTAAACAAACTGACAGGCCTGCAAGCCATAAAATGCAAGCACACCACTTGCAGGTGCAGCAGTAACCAAAGCACCTGCAGCTGTGCCAGAGGGGAGAGGAGCAGTTAAACACTGCCCTCCTGATAGAAATCAGCTACCAACAATCCAACCTCACCTGCTGCAGCCATTCCAGGGCCAGCCCCGTGGGCCAACCATCTACATGCAGATGCTTTGGGGCAGAATTCAGTTGCCTAAGTGCCTGACACCAGAATGACTCCTGAGCTGCCCCGGGGTGTCCAATCTGAGCTCCACCCTCCACTCCAGACAGGTGTTGTCTCCTGCAAACCCTGTGTCATTGCCTACCAGCCTTGCAGAGATGTGTCAGATACCACTGGGCAGCTAAAACAGCACCAGGAAAAAGCTGGGGGGTTGTTAAGTTTTTTATTTGTAGCCCACTGAAAGCCTTCTTATCTAAATGCACACCAAGCACAGGGAATTGCCCTGCAGTGCAGCTGTAGCCACCACATCTGCCCCAGCTCCTGTAACACCCTACAGCTTCTGTGGCATTTCTTTGCAATATTGTCATGGCTCCTCAGAGAGGTTAAGAACAAGCAAAAGGGAGGCCAGTCCCCCAAAAATCCCACAGGGAATCCTCAGTTTTGGCCATGGAGAGAATCTTTGCTTACTTTTGATACTTTCTTCTTCGATCCATCAGTACTTTCTGCTTCTTCATGTTCCTTGACACCTTGAGTGAGATTTGTGTAGTTGACCAACTTGCCAAGCAGAGATGACACTTTTGGTCGTATATCAAGCTCCTCCTGTGGAAGAAGACAACAAGTCAACTTCTGCAGTTCACAGCATTTCTGAAGAGTGGCTGGGATCACACCTTCCTAGGCATGCCTGAGGCTAGCAGGGAACACACCAGAAAAATCATCCAGGAAATGACAATTTCACTGTGCCTCAACCGCTGGTGAGAGGTTTTAATTTTCTGAAAAGAAAAGGCCAAAATGTCTGCACCATGTGAATCATTCTCCTCAGGTGCTGAAAAGCATAATTACAGCAATGAAGAAGTCTGGGCCTTAGAACTGGGAGAAAATGAATGTGTAGCTTGCATGTATCCCCAATGTCAACTTACATCAAGGATACACTTTTAAAAAGGTCAAGCTGCCAAACAAATCAGAGATTTAGTGATTAAATTCTGCTTATTGTAGACATGTATGCACTGATGATTTTATTACATTTTCCAAACTACATTATCTAATTCATGTGGATCTAGACAAAATTCCCAAAAGCCACACGTATGGAGGGCCTCCCACCTTTACACTCAGCCCATCCAATTTTACTTCTGGTTTGGGGCAGGGGGGAGGAAAAAAGCCCCAGACCAAAATCATTCCTTTTCCCTTTCTCTTTAAAATTAGTCTTGCATGTCTGATAGCATAATAAGGAATTGCATGGTAAAGAGAAACAACTTTGCACACAGGAAATAAAAACCAATTGAGAAAGATTTCACTGTCTGCAGCTTTATCATATCTTTAGGTATCACCTTGAACAGCTTCTGGTGGGATCAGTAGCATGATGTGCTTTGTACATGATGCAGAAATGGACCCCAAATGGGGTCACCCCTGAAGGGATGACATGAGCCAAGCACCCCTTTTCATATTCCTTCCTGTGATCTGACCTGCAGCTGACATGTTTGAAAACCTGATTACAAATCCTTCCAGAAAGGGCTGAGACAAGATGTACCTCCTGTTCAGGAGAGCAGCATGGCCTTTGGGATCCTGGTGGATCCTCCTTTTACTTAGTGCCACAGAAGAGCCTGCACACCTGGTGTGGTCCTGTGCTATGGAAAAGGCCTCCAGCAGGAGTGTGCCCCTCCCTAATTTACAGTTACACAGAGTTGTAACTCTGGCTGTCACCACACCTGAGCTCTGTCACACACAGGACCTCCCTGCCCACCGGTGCCCCTGACAACAGATGGACACCCACAGACAGGCAGGTGGGGGAGAAAGATGTGCTCAATCCCTTCCATCATGGAAGAGCCCAAATCACACTAGAAGTACAAAAACCAGCTAGAAATTACCTCGAACAAGGCCAGATTTCTATCATAGTAATCACCTCCCTTGCCAGCTTCTGAACTGTTCAGGAAAGGACTGTTTTCTTTATGGTTGCCATGACCTGTGAAGAAAAAAAAAAGCAGATTTTGATAAGCAGAGAATGATACTGTAACCTTGAAGAATCCATAGGGAAAAACTCCTTTGGTAAAATGAACATGTTTCTTTTTACTATCTCAAGTCATACAATGTTAACAATATCAAAGGTGTTACTCTCAAGGTAGAGTTATTTCTATTTCTACTCCTCTGTTTCATTAAAATAGAATAACAAGTCACCTCAAAGTAAAATTTACAAGTAGGGTCACAGCTACAATGCTGTATTTGCCTTGTGTGTGCTCATACCTGTAACTGTTTTTATACAGAACAGTGGCAAGCACTGGGACAGCTCCTGTGCATTTAGGAATGACTGCTAATGGTAAGAGCAGCCTTTGAGCTGTGTGCCCAGCCCAGTCAGATACACTTAGTAAGACTGAACACTTCAAAGACACATTCTGTAATGACAATACAAAACAGCTCCCAAAGCACCTTTTTAGTTCTTAAATGCTGTTGGTTTTTCACTACACCCACTAATCCCCAGCCATTCAACACCCTTACTGTGTTCTGAACATTTAAGCTGCGCATTCTTCAGGCTCCTTTTATACTCCTATATTAAAACCTAATATAATATACACTAAAATCAGAGCATTCCTATATGCAATGAACAATGTTAAAAAAAAAAAAAAGAACATGGAAGATGAGTAGAGTTTCCTGTAGCAAGTAGTAACAAAAAGAAAAAAAAAAACACCAAGGGCACTATAGTTTAAAACAACCTCTGAGGGGGAAAAAAATTAAATTGACTTCCATCTTCAAAATAAGTTCTTGGACCTATGTCTCCCATTACCTTCTGCTCAGCAAACAAAAATTCTTCTCTTTTGCCTGTACCTCTTCACTCCCTGCTCTCCCAGCCAATACAAATGAATTATTTCCAAGAGCATCTCCTTAAGAAAGGATTAATCCAAGAATACCTTTTTCTATTTACAAAAGATGTAACCACTACAGAAATTAAAAATGAAAGAAAAAGACATTATTATCTCAAATGAAAATACTACAAGTTAAAATACTCTACACTGAATACACCAAAAGCAAGAGATTAAACATCTGGATTTTTGGGTGCATCTTTTCAATGATTACAGTAATCAATTCAATAAGGCTACACTAAATTATTGTAATACAATTCAAGTGAAAATCTCTCTGCATTTTGAAATTTGAATCAACTTACAAAATTAACCTAACAGGCAAAAGGAGAGTCCTCCCCTACACATAGTGATCAGCACAAACCACACTGTTACAAAAGTAATTGTTTTAAGCAAAAAAATTTTGAGAACATTCAGTCCTACTCTTACTGAGGGGAAGGCATGCATGGAAAACAGCACAATTTTCTGGAAATTGCTGACAGGTGCTTTGAACAAAACTGTTGGAAAAACAATATTCACAAAGAACAGAGGGATTTTTAAGCTTCTGTAAGTAAATACTAGCTGACCAAAAATATATGAAAAGAGCAGCCTATTGTGTTTATGTGCCCAGTGCCCTTCTCACAGTTCTGACAACTGACCCCAAAATGTTCATGAGCAGCTGCCTTGAACAAGGGGGCACAGCTTATTTGCTGACCCCACCTACATGTAAGAGATGCTCACTTTGCTGTAATTGTAGAATTTTTTACATTACTAGAAAAACATCAGTAAGCTTAACAACACAGCATCAAAATCAAACAGTTATCAACTTAAGCAAAGGTTAAAATCTGCAAAAACTGCTTGCTTGCTGTATTTGTTATGCCTATACTGGAATATACCAGATCAATTTTGCTGCAGTGTGCTGCAGTCCCCCCATCCTGTTGTGGTTAAAGCACATTTACAATTTTTGCTGAGGAAATGGAGTTATCTGCCATGCCCCTTTTACTCATTAAATTGGACACAAATGATGGTGCAAATTATGACATCAACAGAAATACTGTCTGCTTGATTCTTCAAGACTCTGGTCTCTGCAGTATCTTCTCCATTACATTTATTAAACACAGCAAGATCATGAGCAACTTTGGTTTGTTTCCTCAAGTCCTGTATTATACACTAGATTGGAAATCCAACTGTTCTGGTGACAATGTCTGAAATATCAGCCTGTTTTTTTATCACTGAGTGATTTTTAAATCAATTCTTTGCTGCCTTAGTTTTCCTCCTTCCATTGGGAACCCTACCTTATCACTGTCTCAAGTCAGCATAATGGGTGTTCTACTTATAACACTTGGAGAAACTCTCAACCATTTTATGTACAAAATCCCACTGTTGCCAAGGTACCTTCATACATTCCATCTCAGTTTTTTAAACAAGATTATAATTCTTTTACTCTTTCTAAATGCCCTTGTTACCATAATCCACATAACCTCTCCTTAGTTAAAAAAAAAGATCACTTCATACCATCTCCTTGAGCCTGACTTAAACTGAATCTTCAGCATGATTGTTATTATTTTTTAGATGCATCTTCATTTTACCACCAGTGAATTTTTCACAATTTATCTGTTCAGAAGACCTCTCTCTCTCTCTCTCTCTCTAAAGAGCTTCCATCTTCTCTCTCATTCTTCATTTACATCTTCCATCATCACTCAGACCCTTCCCATTAGACTGTCCTTCCAAATCTGAACCCTTGGCATGCTGGCTTCATACACCATCCTGCACACAGGAAGCCCAAACTGAATAGAATATTCAGTAGAACTAGTGACTGGAAATATAGTATTGATTTTGCAATTGCTAGGGTACATTTTCTTCTAGATGGTTCAGATGATAGAGAAGTACTACTGGCTTTTTACCACATTCACAGCACCAGCTCCATTGTCCTGAAATAACATACCTATGAATTACTGCAGACAATGCAAAAATAAAAGTGAACTTTCCTGCTGACCTACTGAAGTACCACTTTAAAGTCCCTCTCAAACACTGTACACTTTCCATAGGAAGTAAAGGAGTGTAAGTTTATATGCAAGTTCTTCACAGTGACATCCTAGTTCCACAAAGATAGAATAAGCAGAACTGGTGCTGCAGAGATGTGTGCTAATTCAAGACTCCTGCATTGCTAACTTAAATACAGCTAATTAAATGACAGCCAAAAATCACTTTCACCACAGCTGCACATTCAATGCAATCCCTTCTTTACAGACATGTTCTAAATCAAAGCATTCCTCTCACTTTCTCTCTTCTCATTTTGCGTTTCCATTCCAGGAGTAAAACCTCCAGCAAATAACCATTTCCTCAACAACAATCACAACTGTACTTTGACAAAACACACCAGAGACTACAGCACAGCGCAGAAAAAACTCTCCAGTACATTCCCTGTGCCAGTGAGCAAGAGCAGCAGCTTCAGAGAGACTTACTTGTGACTGGAAATATAGACTTGATTTCATTCCCTGTGCCAGTGAGCAAGAGCAGCAGCTCCAGAGAGACTTACTTGTGACTGGAAATATAGAATTGATATCATTCCCTGTGCCAGTGAGCAAGAGCAGCAGCTCCAGAGAGACTTACTTGCACGGGAAGAGCGCGTTATCTCCATCAGCTTGGGGAGGGAGCAGACGTGACCTCGGAAAGCTACTCTGGGGAATTCCTGCCCCAGCTGCACCCGGGGACACTTCACATCCTGAGGCACCAAGTCTCCTGGGCAAGCACCATCCTGGGACATGTGCACACTGCTCCACATCCTTAGTTATCAAGTCTTTGGTCCTGGCCAGCAGCTATGGTGTTAGTTTTTTCATCATGCAAGATTGATTTGCAAGGAACATTGCTCAAAGAAGGAGCTAAGTACTCTGCAACAGAGAATAATTTATTTGCCTTAGTCCCTAATTAATCTCAAATGTTGAGGTATTCAAGCTGTATTCCAAGTAGGTTAATGTTTCCTCTTCACTTGTTTCATTGCTTCTCAGTCTTCATTATCTTTCAATAATTAAGGCATTTTATTTCTGAATGCTACCAGTTCTCTTCCAAACCAGATAATTCTATTTGCAAACACCGCATCAACTATATAGTTTATCTAAACATCTCCAGCAGAGTTCCCTGAACATTCTACTCCCCTACTCAGATATGGGCAGACGTCCAGAGAACAAGTTCCTCATCCTGTGGATAACCTGAGTTCCTTAAAACATCAGAGATGATCCATGGAACAAAACCTAAAACCCTCAAGTGTGCATGCTCCCACACATGCAAACACACATGCTCAGGAAACAGAATAAAAGCAATAAATGGATGTCCAAACTTCTGCATCACAGCCAAGCAAAAACACTGTGACTAAACCGTAGCAGATATTCTACTGACTGGTTTTACTTTACTCTTCTCCAAAAGGCTAATGTTGTCTTTACTAAAGAAAAATAAAATTAAAAAGTATTAAGAACACGGAGGACACTATTCATGCTACTGCTTTCCTTCTGGAAGAGGATTAGGCCAGACAGACAGTTTCACTGCTTGACAATGCTGAATGCAAGCCTTTTGTGCAAGCCATTGTGTTTTCTTAAGTAACTGAGGGATGAAATCCAGAATTTAGAGAGAATGACAAACAAAAGACATACATGAAAGTAACTAAAAGACAGATTAGAGAGCATAAATGAAAGCTGAACAATTCAGCACAGTGACACATACTTTACACAATATTGTAGAGAAAAGACCAGGAAGCTTCACAATGATATGGCCTACTCTGCCAGACTAAAATAATCATTGAGAAGGTGGCAAGAGCAGTTGCATGACTTGACCTGTCAAGGTTTTATTTTTCTCTACTGCCAGTTTCTAAACTCCCTTACAAAAAACCACCACTCCCCTACTTCATCACATTCAGATAAAGAAGCAGAAATTAGTACATCTTTAAGAAACTCCAGACTCTGCCATCAGGACATGACTAACCCAGAAATGCTCACCTACTTATGGAAACTTCATCTACCTGGCAAGTTAAGACGTGCTGAAGGCACAGATGGACAGAGCCTGCCCTGCTTTAGTCTGACCCACACAGATAACAAAGTGAACAGAGCAATGCCAATCAAGCTACAGCAAGGCTAAAACATTTCAGAAAAAGCAAATTCTGAAGAGGGCTGATCTTTGCTAAGAAACTTCTGCCACTTTGCTTCTCCAGGCACATCAGAGCCGAGCTGATGGCAGCTGGCAGAGGCACCCACAGCCTGCCCCCAGCAGCTCAGGGGGAACACAGCCTCCAACACTCTCTGCAGGCAGCAAAGCTGCACAGAGCTCCAGACACTGCTGCCACAGGGGAGGGTGGAATGCAGGGCTGCCTCAACCCTCCCTGACCCAAGTACCAAGTCTTAAGTGAGGGACTAAATTTGTTCAGATCATTTCAGTGCAAATCAGAGTTCAAGTCAGAGCTGGAACTGAAATGCTCAGCTTGACCAAGAAACACATTGGTTTATTTACCCCTTGACAAACAACAAACAGCAGGTATTTCCTAGAAAACCAGCTCAAAGGACAGCCCAACACTCCTGCCCTCAATGTAATTTAATTTCTGGAGCAGTGTAGAGTTAGTATCTCACTTGTAATTGTACTATACGTGTACAGGCTCCTTTGTGTCCACCACAGTAACAAACACTGTGATGAAATAGCCTGTCTAGCAGCTAACATCACATTTTGCAGTTATTCAGATACTATTTCACAAGTATTACTGGCCACAAAACCTGTGATAGTTAAGGGCACAAACTGAGCCATTTTCATGCACAGGGAACACTACTTGATTTTTTTTTAATTACAAAAAAAAAAATTCATACTTATAATATTTAATCTACCAGTAACACTGGAATCTAAGATTAAAATCAGAGTTGATACCCAAGTAGGTGCTGCAGGTTTCCCTTAATATGAGCAATCTAACAGCAGGCTGTTAAAGCCAACTAATCACAAAGGCTCACTTCCCACTCAGGAGGAGATGGCTCAATTAGCTGACCCCTGGAGTGCTCCTCCTGTGCATGCACCTTGACACGCTGCAAATTACCTCTAAAGAGAGCCTAACCTAAATAAAACCCTGATTTACAGATATTTTAGGACAGGCAAAATGTATCCCACTTTGGAAAGCAAGTTAATTCTGTTCTGACTTACTTGTGCTTCTCAGATGTTCATGTGTGAGTAAGTTCTCCAAATTTCTACACAAGTGGTAATTCAGACACAATTTACTTTGATTTTTGAGCACAAAATCAAAATATGGTTTGCTGCACTTAACTGTTCTCACAAGACCTAGAAGCAAATGAATACACCCAAGGTAGGTATTCTACTAGGAAAAAAAAATGGAGAAACAATGGGATTGCTCCAAACAGAAATCATTGCATACTCAGGTTTTATTAGTCAGATTATTTTGAGGGCATTTATTTGTTCACAGCCTTATGGATAAATTTTTCATATAAAAAGCTGTCCATGCCCATTTTTAGCACACTTTGGGGGTTTGGTTTGTTTTTAACAGCTCTTGAGACACCATTTCCCAGATGTCAATGAGGATCATGCCCACACTGCTCCTCCCAAAGGCTGTGTGATGCTCAGGGTGCTCTGCTCATCACTCACAGGCCGGCAACACCTGCAGGTCTGGGAATTGCTGAGAAACAGAAAAGCCTCACCAAGCTGCCCAAGAACCCTGGTATCTCCAATGTCAGCAGCCAAGCACTCAGGAGTGCTGCTGGAGTAAACCAAGAGACTCCCATTCCAGGATAACCTAAGAAACATGCAGCCAACAATTTGATTTCAAACACATTCCAAGTCTCCTTCTATTCATGTGGTTCCTCATATGTGGCTGGACTAAACAAAACTCATCCATTCTCAGAACTGTTATGGAATATTTTTCTTGGTTCATTTGTGAGGCTATACCAAATAATTCAATGCACAATTATGCTTTTGCAGATATTACTACCTTGACATTTCATTAACAGAAATCAGACATTGCTTCTTTTCTTAAATTACTTTCAACAATTTAGCAAAAATCCTAATCCAACATCAGCAGCAGTCCAAAATAAAGATAAGTATTTCTAATAGGCTGCTTTTTTTATTATTGCTTAAATTTGTTTCTCCATGGATAACACACAACTAGCCAGAAACACAAAGAATTTCTAAAATGAGAATTCTGGTTACAAACTCATATATGGCAGCCGAACAGGCTGCTGACATTACAGGATCTGATAACAAGGAATACTTATTTCCCCTTTAGCTACAAAGTAGTCAGTAGTACCCAAAGCACTTTTTTCTTGAAAAAACAGAAAGTTATGATTTAACATCCATATTTCAAAAACTGAAAACAATAATTCCTTTATTTTGCAGTAGGAAAAAAACAAAAGTAGCAAAGAGACATTCCAAGCTCAGAAAAAAACATTTCTCAAAATGTTTTGAAAACTCCACTAAGTTCTTGTTTTGAGGCTGGGCTGGTTTAGGTGTGGGGATTTTTTTAATAGGATTATTATATTTACACCAGAAATAGGAGAAACAGGAAATAACCACTACTGCATCTAGTTAGACAAAACTCATTCACACCACAGCTAGGCATTGGTAGTGAAATAACCAATTGAAATCTTTTAATGCCAATTCACACAAGACCTTGGGCTACCAGGTCATTTTCACTGAAGGTGGAGGAAAGCACAGGCTGTAAAATCCCAGCTGACCCAGTATTTTATCAAAATAAAGGCCAAAGTCACTCTAGATAAGAACCCATGCAACAATAAGGCTTATGAGAGGAAAGCACAGTAGAATGAAAGGACAGATCTTTCCCTGGAGAGCTTTGAGATCCTCTGTACTTGAAACACAAAAAATCAGTTTCACTGGCAACACTGAACACTCACTGTCTGCTCCAGACACACGTTTCCATCAGAAACTGCAGCTTAAACACCAAACTATTGACATCCATGCTCACATTACCAGTATATTATAACATTATTATGCTGTGTAATAACATTATTTACTTCACTGTTAATTGACACTGCCAATATAGTTTTGAGTTTACTGCATTTTACCCAACTAGTAAAGCTGTGATTCTTAAGACTTATTACATACGACATTGCAGTACACATTTATCATCAGCAACAGTGATGGCACCTATAAAAGTGACACAAACAAAGCATAACTGTACCCAGAAACTAAAATAAAAAGCTGTATTATTGAAAATATAGCCATTCCTCTGAACCAGTTCAGAATTTAAAAGATGGCACTTGCTTGTGCTCTGCTTGAAAGGAACAGCCAAAACTTTCCCAGACAATATCCTATGCAAAAGATAAGCTGGAGCAGAGTACAAAAATAAGTATACAATTAAGCACAGATCTTGGATTTATCCCTAGATAAACACATGTGAAGACTTCTACTGTACTTTTCAAAACTGGATTAGAGAACAGCCTTGCCCATCAAGTTGTCTGACCCTACACAACTCAAAGGATGTAACAATTTAATAACCCTGTGTTTCAGAAAGCATTATGACTATTTTTCAGTTAAGATACACTGATAGTTGCAGAACACTTAGAATTCTTTGTAAGTGCTAATATCAACATAAAACACTTACCCTTTAGCAACAGTTCTTTGACATTTTCAGTAACTTGATTTACCATTATTCGTCTTCCAGCTCTTAGCACATGCTTTAGTAAATGCTTCCTCTGTGAAGTCTTGAGGATAGGACAACTTTAATAATATTGTATTTCCAAAAGAACTGTTTCTACCTACTATGACAAAGTGCTGGCTGCAATGTTGAATTGGACTGATCTCTTCCAAGAAGAAAAAGGTCCTTACAGAAACTTAAGCTGACACCGATATAATCCTGGCATTACAATCCTTTCAACACCAAGAAAATACACAAATA